CAAGCGATAAACATCTCACTTTATTCATCATCTTAAAAGTTCTATATATGTCCATGTTTCATATATTTTAACCCATGCAATAGAAGTTGTCCTTCTATTGTCATATTCAGTCAATTCACAACTCAGTTTAATTATCATGTATAAAAGTGAATCACAAACCTCTGCTTTACAACCTCCCCGTATCAGTTTTATATTTATACATATTCCATATATTTTAACCTTTGTTTAATTATCTTTCCATTATGTTCAACCAATTAGCAACTCCATTTATTGTCATATTTAGGAATAAAACCCTTATCTTAGCTTTATATTTTCCCAAATAACAGTTTCTAGTTGTCTGATTTTTCCCTAGTAAGTCTTTTGTCCCACTTCTCTGTTCCTGTCTTCTCCCTTTTCTTTGTTTTGACACATCCACTCTCTTCAATTTTCCCCAGGCCATCATGAAAATGATATTTTATATTTCTCTTTGTTGGGGCATAATCTCCTACTCCAATTTTCCTTATGCCACTAACCACTATCACACAAGTTCATTTGAGGTGTCATCAAATGAACTTGTGTGATGTCTGAATATTTCCTCTCAAAAAAGATTATCAGTTTCACAATAGTTTGCCAGAATCTTTCTTAAAACTGCCAAGGATTTGGGTGGTTTTGAGGAGGGAATCAGAGACATTTTTTTCATTATCTCATTTTGTGTTGCCTTGTATGTAAGTATTCTTGTGGTACCCAGCTGTCTGACTTTGCTCAGATAAAAGCATAATAAATAGGATTTTATACATCTTCTTTTGTGTTAATTTTCAGGAGGTTCTTGGTTATAAAATAGATTATCACATGTCTCTTTATATTGTGGCTGTCCTGGAATACATCTCTGCTGACATCTTAAAATTGGCTGGCAATTATGTTTTCAACATACGACATTTTGAGATTTCCCAACAGGACATTAAAGTATCCATGTGTGCTGATAAGGTGAGATTCTATGCAAATCCCAAATTTATGTAAATATTTCATCTTAATTATATAGTTGTTGGGTATTCTTGCTATTTCATCTTGCCATAAATAGTACTTTTGTTATAGAGCAGCTTTACATGTCAATAACATGTACTCAAAGATATTATGACACTTCTCTCAAAAAATTGTAGTATTAATTCATTAGTCAATAAAATATTGAATTCAATAGTTTTTCAAAAAGGCCATAACTTCATATTTGCCCATGTGTAAAATATCTCTTCTCTATTTAGGTATTAATGGATATGTTTGATCAAGATGACATTGGTTTGATTTCCTTATGTGAGGAAGAGCCTTCTTCTTCTGGTGAACTTAATTACTATGATCTTGTCAGGACTGAAATTGCAGATGAAAGACAGTATCTGCGGGAGCTAAATTTGATCATAAAAGTATTTCGAGAAGCTTTTCTATCTAACAAAAAGCTGTTCATGCCCAATGTAAGTCATTCCTTTGCCAAATTGGCCCTTTGTTGTGATACAATGTGTGCTTTGAAATAAATTTAATTATGGTAAAAACTCCCCCCTCTTGAAATCTTATTTTAATGAGCAACAGGTAACTAAAAATTTGCTTTATTGCATGTTAGTTTTCTAGTTTCTCTTTTTTTTAAGTGTTATTTTTCAAAAATGCAAACAAATTCTTTCTTCAGGGAATCAAAATGAATTACCTTATTCTGATGCAGCAATTAAAATAAATCATAAACACATTCAAATTTCAGTTGACATCTTGCCATATACTGTTACAACTGCAATCTTTTAAAGGTATTTTGAGACTTGGTAGCATAACACATGGAGAAGTTCAGCTCTGTGAATGCTTCCCATTCAAAAGAGCAGGACTTCTTATGTAAAATACCACTTTTTCCATAAATGTCTGTTTAAAAACACTAGCTGAGGCAAGCATTTTATAACAGATCAGAAGTTTGTACAGATAAAGAGACTATATAAAATAATTCATCAAGTCTAAAATTCTTTAGATTTGACTTACCAACATTCAAATACCAGTACTTCAATAGCAATAGCAATATAGCAATAGCAGTAGACTTATATACCGCTTCATAGGGCTTTCAGCCCTCTCTAAGCGGTTTACAGAGAGTCAGCATATNTTGCTAAGCAATTTATTATCTCAGATTTGATTTATAAAATATTTTTACCAAATTTGATATTAATTATTAATACAGGTAGTCCTCGACTTAATTAAAACCAAAATTTATGTTGCTAAGCAAGACATTTGTTAAGTGAATTTTGTCCCATTTTACTACCTTTCTTACCACAGTTGTGAATCATTGCAGTTGTTAAATTAAGTTGTTAAATTAGTAAAACAGTTGTTAAGTGAATCTTGGGTCCCCATTGATTTTGCTTGTCAGAAGATAACAAAAGGTGATCATGTGACCCCAGAACACTGCAAGTATTATAAATATGAATCAGTTGCCAAGCATCTGAATTTTGTTCACGTGACCATGGGAATGCTGCAATGGCCGCAAGTGTGAAAAATTGCCATGTTAATTTTTTCAGGGCCATTGTACATGTGAACAATCTCTAAATGAACTGTTGTAAGTCGAGGACCACGTGTAATGGAAGTTTGTTTTGTTTCACACTTGCTGCATGAAATAGCAATAAATTTGTGCTTTGCATCTCTGATATCGAAATCCTTTATACAATCTACCAGCAATGTCTGATGTGTTTTCCAGGCAAATCCATGAAGAAGTGGGTGGAATCCATTGCAAAGATTATCCGGAGGAAAAAACAAGCTCATGCAAATGGCATAAGCCATAATATAACATTTGAAAGCCCTCCCCCTCCAATTGAGTGGCATCTCAGCCGTCAGTTTGAGACATTTGACCTCATGACATTGCATCCCATAGAGATTGCTCGGCAGCTAACTCTCCTGGAATCTGATCTCTACAGGTAGACCACTCCTTTGTTAGGTTGACAACTCCTTCCATTACATAAGTCAAATAGCAAAATGTTCCTTTGTTAATCAAATTCAATATGCAAAGTCAATTTGAAAAGTACAGTATAGAGCAATATCATGATTGCAGTACCAATGCTGTCTGGTTTGATATTTATAGTACTATAAGTACTCCTTCATAAGCTAATGTAACATACTGTAACATACTGATTGAAGTATGTTAGCAATAAGTAGTAACAGAATAAAGCAGAGTTTTTGGTACTAGAGCATAGATTTTGTGTCTGCAAGTTTTTTTATTAATAATTTCTGTTAAATGATTTTAGATAGAAGCTTTGAAAAGGAATTCTGTCTGAAGTCTTAGTTCTGTCCATTGGAGTACCTCATAAAGGGTGTCCTGAGTACAGCTCCCATTATCCCTTTCATTGACTCATGTTATTGGGCTGATGGGAGTTTCAGGCCACCACATTTTAAGAATAAGATTGGAGAACGCTAAATCTGATAATCTGGACCAAAGAGAGCAGTGTTTTGATTCATCTTAAGACTGTTTATATGTGAAATCGATATAGTAGGTCACTAATTCAGAAGTTGTATCTTTAATTCCTTAAAAGTAATGTGAAGAAAGTTATTAAGGTAACTTTCAGAAGTAAGACTATTTTGTACTGAGACAATGTACTTAACATGCTTTAATTCACCTAAAGTACAATACAGTGCTAAATATATTTATAACTGAGCATTTGAACAATATATTGCTATTTCTAGAAGAAAGTAAAAATAATTTATGTTCAAGCTGTGGATCCAACTCATGTTTCCCTTTTCTTCTTTGAGTGATGTAAAAGTTAAACAAATAGGGTAGCTACATTTACTATCATTAAAAAAATGACTCCTTGGAATGACAGTTGTATGCCATCATATTGCTTAGCAAGTAAAGAAGGAAGGGCCCATAGTATCTACACAGATTCTGACGCTGTAATTTCACTAAATGAAATGCCTGCAGCACCTTCTGAATTTTCTGTATATTATATTTTTCCAACTATGCACATCTGCACCTTCCTACACACAGTTCTTTTGTTTTGTTTTTTTTTCTGTATCAGGGCTGTCCAGCCTTCAGAACTTGTTGGGAGTGTGTGGACAAAAGAGGATAAAGAAATTAATTCCCCAAACCTGCTGAAAATGATTCGGCACACAACAAATCTTACACTTTGGTTTGAAAAGTGAGTAAAGTCACTTATATCAAGATATGCAAGATTTGTATCAGCTCAAGAGCCAGAATTTGCACAGAATGGTGTGACATAGAGGAGGAACCATGTTTATCAGGGTTAAAAGGGAATGCCCATTAAATTCACCAACTGTAAACATGAAAAAAAAGGAGGGAGCAATGTTGTTGTATCGCACTGCATTGGAATCTTAAGGCCACACAATAGTCATCAATTGACTGTATTTTCTTGTGCCTGGTGTAGCTGCTAATAAGGATGGGACAGATTTGTAGTGGAAAGTTTGAAGAAAGCGAAACAAAAAGAAAATCTTTCAGAAATATGTACTTAATAAATGAATATATGATGGTATTATTCATTCAGGACGTCTGAATTAATGTTGGGGGAGGGGCAAAATGAGAATATGACAATAGTTTTAAAATAGCATCCAACAAGCCTCTGTACTGTTTTTTCTTCTTCTCCTTTTTCTAAATTAGGTGTATAGTAGAAATGGAAAACTTTGAAGAGCGAGTGGCTGTGCTAAGCAGGATTATAGAAATTTTGCAGGTTTTCCAGGACTTAAATAATTTCAATGGAGTTCTTGAAATAGTCAGTGCAATGAATTCTGTCTCGGTGTACAGACTAGACCACACCTTTGAAGTAAGTCTTGGTGATTGACTAATAATCAAAGTGTGACCGATAATTTTAAACTACAGTTTTATACTAATGGCAGCTGCAGTTCGGTACAAATGTGAATAACATGGTGAGAATTATTTCCCAAACTAAGTGTTTCTGATAATCTGTGTGTGTACACTTAATTTAGAATTTGCAGAATGGATATCAAAGAAGGAGAAGACCAAGAAAGACACCAGGTCTTTAATAAAGCTTAGAAAAGATTATTAAGAAATAGCCCATAAATATTTACAATGTCAGCAGGTTATGATCTCAGTCAGCCAGATGAACCCTAACCACAGGGAAGGTTAATTTCTCACAAGGAAGCTGGGGAAAAGGGCCAAATCTTAAAATCCTTCTTCCCCATCTCCCACGGTCCCCCATCCTTTGGAATCCTCACCTTGGTTCTGGGATAATTAGAAAGGAAAAAAATCAATGTCTATGATTACGCTCATTGGAAAGGAAGAGATTACAAGAGAGTAAGCAAGCACACAGTGAGTAATATACTTTGAAAGTATGTGTATTATTAAAACATTTTTAGATTGTGCAGAAATGGATAGACTGACACTAAAAATAAAAGAAAAAGAAGTGTTTTCGAACATGGGACTTGTTTTATATATGGTTGGATAGCAGAGATAGAAATTAGGAATGGAAAAAGTATTATAGTATAAAAATAAATTGATCCAGACAATACACTGTTCATTAAGCACTTATGTATCTAATGTGAAAATATATAAATAAATTGTTTTGATTTTGTTTGTTTTTTAAGTATGTATTGGTGCCAGCAGGCTTGACATGCTCCTGGCCAGATCTCTTAAGGATACAAAAGGAAGCCTTTGGGATCAAACTGATAAGGATCATGCCCATTTCACATAGCAGTGCAAGCTGAGTCTGGATGCTAATTAGGGGCGAAATTCAGCAGGTTTTGACAGGTTCTGGAGAACCAGTAGCGGAAATTTTGAATAGTTTGGACAACTGGCAAATACTACCTCCGGCTGGTCCCAGAGTGGGGATGGAATGGGGATTTTGCAGCATCCTTCCCCTGTCACGCCCATCAAGCCACTCCCACAAAACCAGTAGTTTAAAAAAAATGAATTTCACCACTGGTGCTAATTAACTAATCAAGGTTGCAGAGCTGAGGTTACTTGCAAGCAAGTAGCATCTTTGCCTGCACACAAAGAAAAGTGGTTTAGGAAGAGACAGCTTATCCAAGCAATCTCTCCTATGCAGGGAAGGAAATTCCGGGAAGGAGGGAAAGGAATAAGAAAATAGGGGAGGGGGGGGAAACAAGCTATGTACAAGACACTGGGTAATGTTTTCTTTGTTTGTCAACTTTGCATCCTCCCTTTTGTATAGGACTTCAGCGCATATATCACGTCACGTCACATCACAATATAATATGATAAATAATGATGAGCTTTTTTGTGCGGATTAAATAAGGTTTCCAATATGTGATAATATAAAGTAAATCCTAGCACCTAGCTCAACGTTCGTTGTTCCATTTTACTCTGTTTACCAATTATTGAATTATTTTGCATTATACTTTAAGAAAAAATGTACATTTTATTATTTTATTTTACTACAGCCGTTGATTTCTGTCCTTAAAACATGTATTTTAATAACAAAAAGAGAATATATAACAGCCAAGATGATTATGTGTAAGGCATAATTATGGACAGCAAAGGCAAGTAATACTGAGAAATGATATAGACTAGAGAGAAGTTGTAAAGATTTCACAATTTCTGGTCAGCATTGACTATTACACAGATATATCCTACAATATCAATATGTGGGATTTTTTTTATCCAATATCAGGCACTGCAAGAAAGAAAAAAGAAAATTTTAGATGAAGCAGTAGAATTAAGTCAAGATCACTTTAAAAAATATCTTGCTAAACTCAAATCAATCAATCCACCATGTGTGCCTTTTTTTGGTAAGTTACAAAACAGAGACAAAAAAATGGCTGTATTTTATATTCCTGTTAATTCATAAATGATTAAGGAAATTATGACATTCTTTTGGGGTATTTTACAGTATCTTTTGAGAGCATGCTTTTCTGCTGAATATTTTTCTTTCCTTGATTAATTTTTGTATGAAAACCAAAATGTATTTAGATTTCAGATGATTGCTGAAATGCCTTCAGAGTATGGCTCCAAAGAAGTACCATGCTGACTAAATTTATTTTGTATAACATCAAATGCTATTTATTTTTTGCATATTTCAGCCCAATTTAGGGAAGAGGATCTAAAGACATAACATATTACTGGAAGGCATACTAGAAGTTAGCAAGCTTATTACTTAATGTTCCAAAGTAGTTTGGTGATGTGGCTTCTCTGATGTGTCACTGAGTTAATTTTGTCAGGAAATTGAGTCAGTCTTAAGTTATGGTTGATCCAACAGAAGGTAGTAGGTTTTTTTTTTTTTTTTTTTTTTTCATTTGCTGCTATTCGGAGTTGGACAGCAAAACTTTCACTTCCTTCTCACCATTCAGAAATGTATCAAAAGTTATTTTACGCTTGGGAGAAGTAGGTAGGGTCTGCAGAGGAGAAGAGGAATCTTCGTGTCTTTTTCTAGTGAACAGACATGGGTACAACTGTATGTCTCACTGTAAAATGTGCTATAAATTGTGTTCATAACCTGTTTTACATTCTTACTTAATAGGGGTTGCATGTGACTTATGTGGAATATTGTCCCTTATTTATGATTGGTTTTGATAATTTATTACACAGTGCAACAACCCGTGGAAATAGTTTGAGTTATTACTGGATGCAGCAAATAAAAAAAAATTTTCCCCCTAAAATGTCCATGTTGCATTCTCATAATATAAGATGTCAACTTCTTCTGCTAGATGTTCTAAAGCTCAAAAAGGTAGTGCAATACTTAATGTATAGTTAGAATTTAAGGCTAATTTTCTAAAGGAAGTGTCTCTGTTGTCATAAACAAAAAAGAGGGCATGGATGTGAAGAAGCTAATTGCATTTTGCCCTTTCTCTCTATTTAGGGATATACTTAACAAATATTCTAAAAACAGAAGAAGGGAATCCTGACTTCCTAAAAAGACAAGGGAAAGGACTGATCAACTTTAGTAAAAGGAGGAAGGTGGCTGAAATCACAGGAGAAATCCAACAGTATCAGAACCAACCTTACTGTTTACGTGTTGAATCAGACATCCGGGTAATTGGACAGCACTGCAGAGAGATTTCCCTCTGAATTTGATAAGATGACAAATTGTGTTTTGGTACTTTGCTGATAACTAAGCCAGGAGTGTAGTGCAGCTGCAAAAAAGACAAATGCTATCCTAGGGTGCATTAATGCAGACAAAAGTAGGCAGATCACCGAAAATTTTCCACACTGCTCTCCCACATTCTGAGCACCATGTTTCATAACAGACTGCCAACAACTAGGAGCGAATACAGAGGAGCGCTACCAGGAAACCCTTGTGAGGAACGGTTAAATTATCTGGATATGTTTAGCCCTCAGAAAATAAACTGTGCAGAGATATGATTGCCCCTTCAAAATAGCTGAAGGGTTGTCACTAGAAGTAGACATATTTTCTAATGACTAAAAGGCAATAATAAAACCAATGTGTTAAAAATATGGGGAAATGGATTCAGGCTAGATTTCAGAAGAAATTTCCTTATGGTAAAAGCTACCAGCCAGTCAAACAAGCTGCCACATAAATAAGTGGGTTGTCTTTGCTAGAGGTCTTCAAATGAGGTTGGAGAGTAATTTTTCAGCTGGTTTAAGTGGAGAGTTGTAGAGCTTTCTAAAGTCCCTTCCAATTATGTGATTGTATATTAGTGTTTTCTACAATGGTGAGGATTAGATTTAGCAGTAACTCACAAAGTGTCCCAAGTTCTTAGATTTTCTTTATGAAAATATCAGCTTGCAAAATTAGATGGGAGTACCCTGCAGCCACCATTAAATTGAACTAGTTTCATATTTCATATTTGCTTTCAGTTAAAAATATATACAAATATAGGTAGTCCTTGACTTACAACCATTTGTTTAACAGCAATTCAAACTTATGATGGCTTCAGAAAAAGTGATTGAAACCTGTTCTCACATGACTGTTGCACTACCCCAGTTCAGGCATTTGGCAGCCTGCTTGACTTTCTGATCAGTTGCATAATACTGCAGTCATATGATTGTGATTTGCTTCCTTCCCAGCTGGTTTTTGTCAAAGTCAATTGGAGAAGCTGGGTTTGCTTAATGATCTTATGATTCTCAGGGATTCCAGTAAAAATGATCATAAAATTGGCTTTTGTCATGTGATACTCACTTAACAAATGCATTACTTAGTGACCAAAATTCTGATACCAATTGTGACTGTAAGTTGAGGACTTCCTGTAGAGCTATTTGTCCATTTCACATATACTGTGTACACATGCAGTCCCATCCATAAATAATTCCAACATTGCTAATGCTATGCGAGGAAATAAAATATGATACGATGTAAACTGATAGAGAGCCTAGGAACAAGTGTGATTTTTAGAATCTTGCTGGGATTGGGCGGGGGGAGGTTGGCATATGCAGACTGGAACTTTTTGTTATGATACGGTTAGTTGAAAGGTTACTTTTTTGTTTTTTCAGAGATTCTTTGAAAATTTGAACCCCATGGGAAATTACCCAGAAAAAGAATTCACAGACTATTTATTCAACAAATCTCAGGAGATTGAGCCCCGAAATTGCAAGCAGCCCTCTAGATATGTAAGTAGTCAAATAATGTACTGCTAGTTCTCAGTTAATGACAGTAATTGAGACTGGAATTTCTGCTACTAAGTGATGTAGATGTGATGCACAAGTTCATTTGATTACATCGTTTAGTAGCAGCAGTCCCAGAACTCTCCATTGCCATTGTTAATCAATGATCAAGGATCACTGAATCCTACCATGTTTTCCCAAAATTACGACATGTCCTGATAATAAGGCCATGGCACATTTTTCTGGTGGGCAAAAATATAAGCCCTCCCTCACAAATAAGCCCCCTGGACAACACCCCACCTCTGGCCAGGCAGAGCGCCACTCACCAACCTAGCAGTATCCCGAAGGTGCCAAGCCGCGGGAACCAGGGGGGAGGCAAAGCTGATTGCATTGCTTGTCCCTTTGGGATACCGCTAGGTTGGTGAGCAGCTCTGTGCCCAGCTGAAGAGGGGGGTTGTCGGGTGGCTGCTCTCTTGCAAGCGGGCTCCTAAAGAGCCGGGCATAGCCTCGTGCGAATGGCTGTGTTGCGCTGTCACAGCAGCACAACACAGCAGCCATGAAGCGACCAGGCTCACGAGCAGCCACCCGGCAAACCCCCTTTCCAGCTGGTCACAGCACAATTCACTGACCTAGGGTATCGCCAAGCCGCGTGAGCACCTGTTTGCCGTTGCCCAGCTCCCGTGGCTTGGCGCCTTCAAAATGCCAGTGAATGGCACTTTGCACGGTTGAAGAGGGGGGGGGGTTGCGTGACCGGCTGTTCTGCTCTTGCTCTCATGCCTCCCAGCCTCACGATGCCCTGGTCCAGCTTTCTCCCCAGAGCCAGGGCACCTCCAGTGCTGCCGCCACTGCCGTATGCTTTTTCTGCGGCTTCCAAACCGAGTCTTCCGGCAGTGGCCGCTCTGGGCATACGCTCTATGGTTGTGGGCCAGCTGCTGGCAGAGCATACAGAGTGTTCTGAATTATTTCACATAATTAATGTAAGCATAATTAATGCTTACATTAATTTAAGCCCTCAAAAGATGCTTTGTTTCCAATGGAGAACTGTATTTCAAAGCAAAAGGAAAATTTTGCTTCCTTCTCTATCGGAGGAGATATCAAAGGCATGCAATCAAATGCAGTTTGAAGAGACGTATTGTTGGAATTAACATTTCATTCTTAAAAGCAAAAGATGGCTTAGGAAGGAAAAAAGCAATTTTCTTAGTTTAGCATGATTAGTCTTTTTTGCATTGATTTATTTCCTTGTATTTCTAAAACATAAAGCAAAATAGCTCAAAGAAACAAAAGGGAATAAAACCGTGGGATTCTTCTCTCTCTCTTTTAGCCTAGAAAAACCAGCTACTCTCTAAAATCTCCTGGAATAAGGCCAAATACTGGCAGGCACAGCTCCACATCTGGCACTTTGAGAGGCCATCCAACTCCTCTTGAAAAGGAGCCCTATAAGATTAGTTTTAGCAGAATCACTGAAACTGAACAGGAGTCTGCAGCATCAGCACCAACCTCACCAAACATCCCATCCACTCCTCCAGTGTCTGCGTCATCAGAAGTCAGTGTATTCATAGACATTGATCTCAATAGCTCCTATGGTAAGTATTCTGAATTAACCTTACATTCTCAAATTACAATAAAACTAAAGTAGAATTATCTTTGGACAGATCTCATGTCATGGAGATGGCCTGATTATGCCACTGATCAAATAGTTGGTTAGGTATGCCAAATAGTGCACATAACAAAACCTGTATCGATAGCAAAAAGAAAAGAGTATGAGGACTAGTCCTCGTCTTTTTACAGCCTTTCCCTATCAGCATCATCAAATGTGCCCCAGCAATCTCTTTTCCGTTATGTGTTCATTGCATGGCCTTTTTCTGATCCCCAGACTATACCCGAGGCAGCCTTAAGTTATCCTTAGGTAATGTTTTGTCAAGTTCAGGTGAAAAAAGTTGTGTTACTTACAATTAACGATACACTTTTTCTCTTAGCTTTATTTTTGGTTCTAAATATTTTGGCAAGGAAAAGCCTTGATTGTGTCCTTTCTGCCTTTTCTCCACAGGTAGTAATAACAGCATATTTGCTCCTGTCCTTTTGCCACAGTCAAGTAAGTATTCTGGTTGTTCCTTAGAATCCCATTGTCTCTTTGTATATGTATGTAAAAGAACAGCAAGAGTCACTCTAACCCTAAAGTTGTATATCCTTGGCCCTGACTAAAGCTAACAAGGGGAATAACCAATGATCCAATTAACATTTTCTGATCCTTCTGGGGAGGTTGGGGCTTTGGGGGCAGTTTTGAGGGAAAATATGAGCGCCTTAAAACTTGGTGAGACTTCAGAAAATGCCAAACTTCCCCACAAAATTAGAGCAATTTCTTCCTGGTTTTTTATAGTTAATGTGCACAATGATTTCTTGATAACATTTATATTTGGCCAGTTTGGTATAGTGGTTAAGGTGCTGGCCTTGAAGTGCGGAAACTGAGCTCTAGGCCTTTCTCCATGAAAGCCAGCTGGGTGACTATGAACCAGTCACCCGCTCTCAGTCCAACCAACCACATAGGATTGTTGTGGGGAAAACAGGAGGCAGGGCTATTAGGTATGTTCACTGTGTTGACTTGGGGTGTGTGCCTGTGTCTGTGTGTGTGTATAATAATATGGCCACCCACCTCAAACAATATGACTCTAGATGATGTACAAAATCATTAAACAGAAATATAAAGCAGCACTAAAACAAAAAAATTAAAAGGCTATCAGAATTAAAATGCATCCTATCTACCAGGAGTTTGCTCATTTTGATCCAGCTCTTAACTGCCTTTCTAAAGGCTTGGAGGCTTGTGGCCAAAAGTCAGTTAGGTACCCAAAACTATTGCCATTGTTTCCCTTGATCTCACTACTGTAAACTCCAAAATACTAAAAAATGTCAGCTCCATTCACAGTAGAAAACTGCAAATGTCTGTCCTAAAGACAGAAGCTAATAAAATACAGGTAGAGAAAGCAAAACATAAACAAAGATATACAGGTAGTCCTAAACTTACAACCATTTATTTAGTGACCATTCAAAGTTACAACAGCACTCAGAAAAGCAACTTACAACCATTCTTCACACTTACAATATCATAGCATTCCCACAATCATGTGATCAAATTTTGGGCTCTTGGCAACCAGGATGTATTTATGACAGTTGAGCCTCCTGGAGTCATGTGATTGCCATCTGCAACCCTCCCAGTTAGCTTCCAACAAGCAAAGTCAATGACGGAAGCCAGTCACTTAATGACCACATCATTCAATTAACTGCAGTGATTTGCTTAACCATGGCAAAAACTGTTGTAAAATATGAACTTAGCAACCGCCTTGTTTAGAATTGAAATTCTGGTCTCAATTGTGGTTGTAATTCAAGAACTCTCTGTATTGAAAATAGAAAGGGCTTATACATTTCATAAATAAGGTTTCAAAAGATTCAGGTTACAATCACACATTCTTAATTCTCTCTGTTTTATTCTTCAGAATCATTCTTTAGTTCATGTGGAAGTTTGCATAAATTAAGTGAAGAACCCCTGGTTCCTCCTCCTCTGCCACCTCGCAAGAAATTTGATCAGGAGCTTTCCAACTCAAAGGTAATCTTCCATTTAAAAGCAACTTCTTTATGTGTACAATATTTATAGATTATAAGCAAAGCAGAGATCTTGTAGCTGTGTATGATTTTATATCTCACTGCTCAATCTCCCTTTAGTTTCTTCTGTGTACATTTGCAAGTGCCTCCCCTCAAACCATCACATACTCTTTTGCTTGGTACTCCGCTCATGTGCCAATTTCATGTCTGCTGCATTAACCGTCTCAAACATGGCTTGTTGGTATTTCCAGCCATTTTAAAATACCGTATTTTTCAGAGTATAAGACGTACCTTTTTCCCTCAAAAAAGAAGCTGAAAATATGGGTGTGTCTTGTACACTGAATACAGCATTTTTTGCCTCCTGAAACCCCGCCCTCTTCACCAAAACGGTCGTACATTACATTTAGGAGGCTTCCAGAGTGCTCCTTGGGGCTGAGGAAGGCAGAAATGAGCAAAAAACGGGGTTTTTACTCAATTCCTCTCCCCCAGCCCCCAGGAGCACTCTATAAGCCTCCTAAAGGCTATGCATGCCCTTTTTTGGGGGGGGGACGGGCCCGTTTTTGCGAGGTCTGCAGAGTGCAAAAACTTTTTTTTAAATTTACCTCTTCAAAATATTGGTGCGTCTTATACTCCGAAAAATGTGGTACTTGTTTTTACACCTGAAATCCACTCATTTTGGTGGAACGGTAAACCATTAACTTTAAATCAAACTCTTTTACTCTCTGAGGTGTTAATATTCAAGTTCAAGCCTGATGAAGAAGAGGCATGGAATGTTGTATTGTGAGAATATCAGTGTTCTGATCCAGGAAGGAAATTTGAAGATAAAGACACATGAGGGTTAATGCAGGTTCTTGCTCAAAATAATTTACATTGGGGACAGTTTGAATGATTCTGCTCATATGTGTTTCAGGGTGGTTCCAGATCTGATGATGATCCTCCTGCTGTCCCCCCGAGACAGCCACCTCCTCCAAAGATACAGCCACGAGTCCCAGCTTACACTGGTTTGTTTGATCAGCCATTGCAAAGCCCTCCACCACCTCCACCAAGAGACCCTCTGCCTGACACTCCACCTCCCGTGCCCCTTCGCCCTCAAGAGCACTTTGTGAACTGCTCATTCAATCTTCAGCCTCCCCCTGTGGGACACTTTCACAGAGAGTCCGACTGGCTCCGGGAAGTTAGCACATGCCCAAACTCCCCCAACACTCCTCCTGGCACCCCATCACCTCGAATATTGCGTCGCTGGTGCATGCTCAGCCCAAACCTTAATAGCCTTGCAGCACCTCCAGTCCCACCTCGCCAGAATTCCAGTCCTCAGCTACCAAAACTGCCACCAAAGACTTACAAGAGGGAACTTTCTCACCCTCCTTTGCACAGACACTCTTTGCTAGAAAATGCAGAAACTCCTCAATGACCTTCGTTATGTAGTCTTTGACACTGGAATAGCAGCTCCCAGCTTTACAGTTTCTCCTTAATTTATTCCAATGACACCATTTATTTGAGCCCTTCGTCAGGCAAACACATGGCAGATCAAGACTCATCCTCAAGCATTGGAACAACAGCAGCCTTCAGACTCACTCTAGCCTCTTTACTCATACCATCAATCTTCTCCTCAGGGGATCAGTAACACTGCCTTCTCCTCTTCCTCTTCAGTGCTGTGACAAAGAAAACTATATTTTGCACTGCAAATGACACACTACATTAATTTTAAACTGACATCAGTTCATTGCACTGAGCCAAAACAAAAGTGGTTGCTCGTGGATTTTTTATTTCCAAACTGGAGCATGAGCAGCCTTTTCTCTCCATGTGTGTCTGCGTGTGCGTGTGTTTTTTTAAAGATGCAATTAATTGGAGAAACGTCTCCAAACTGGTGTCTTTAAGCTGTATCAGGACTGCAATCCTAGCCAATATGGCCTTCTAGAAAGCACCAGGTAAGATGCATTGAGAAGTACTCATGAAGCATTCTCACCCAAGCCAAGTTACAGTGAATAGATTCATTTCAATGTGATTTACCTGGGAGAACTTTCAAGTGGATGTGCCTAATTGATGCCATAATTGATGGACTTCCCACCAAACATGAAGACCTATGTCATCTTTCTAATTTTGTTTTTATAAACCTATTCAGATACTTTCTTTTCAGGAAAAAAATTAAAATCAAGAAGTTTGCGCTAGACCATTATATTACTGTTGTTTTCAAATGTTAGGTGACATCATGTCTTAATTTTTGTAGTTTTGCTGCTGAAATTGGGAAAAGATAAGTGACTAAACCAAGAGAGTGCACTACAATTGGCCCAATTAAGTGAGAAGCAGAAAAGGGTCTGCTTCATCCATCTGTTCAAGGAGAATTTAGCATGTGTGTCCTATTCAGTTGTGCCTTCATTGTTTAAACAAGCGGAGGTGTCTTAAGCTAAAAAGTTGCCTGCTGTTTTGGCCAACAAAGCTATTGCGCCATATTATGTACAGTTGTTTATAATGTATAATTTACAAAGTAATAACCTGTATACACTTCTGTGACTTGAGGCCTCTTCTGTTCTTTCTGTGCATTATACTATTGTAAGCATTTCTCTACATATTAGTGATGAAAACCATATTATAATTACCCTTCTTTCCTCAAATTAGAGCTTTACTGTCATTATGGGGTCCCTCCTGAAAATGTAGTGTTTAAACCAGCAGATATTGAAGAATGCTATTTTGGACTCTTTGAAACTTAAATGAGACCTTCCTCTGGCCAGTTGAATTCTGTTCTTTTCCATTCAAGCTGGCATATTAAATGAGTCTGGTTCACGAATTAAAAATGAACTGAAGAGAGTCTGGTAGCACCTTTTTCAATTAACTTTTTTTAAAAAGCATAAGCTTTCATGAGCCACAACTCACTTTATCAGATGTGTAGAGTGGCTAGACCTTGTCCACTTAAGATGGATGGACTTCAACTTTCAGAATCTCTAGTTAGCATGCTGGATCAGCCAGTCCACACAACCATGGCTAAGGTTGATAAACTGGGATAGACTGATATAGGATTTAAATAGGGATGATAGGAAAGGAGGTTATGTAGATACAGGTTACCTATGAGACATATTAGTAGTATCTTATTAACAACTGTTGTGTTAAAACCCCTTTGTTGATATCTTGAGCTTGCCTGAAATCTTTTGATGTATAGGTAATAGACAGACTAATGACCACAATTGTGACTAGAACCTATGTTGTCATTGTGATCATAAGTCTAGTCAAACCTAATTTTATGACTATTTTTAGTCATAAAATAAATCATCAATTGTTGATTGGGCATTAAATAAATTCCACAAATGTTAAGCAAATCCAGCTTCCCCAATGGGTGTTATTTGCCAAAAATTGGCAAAAAAGAATATAAAGTACAATCGTGACCACAGGATGCAACAACTAGTTATAAATGTGAACCGATTACCAACCTCTCATATTGCTATAGGGATGTTGTAAGTGCAAGTGCAGGTCATACGTCCCTTTTTCCAAGGTCATTGTAACTTTTGAACAATTGTAAAAAAAGCTATCCTAAGCCAAGGACTACCTGTATGTACATTCAGCATACAGTGATGACTTTAAAATGGGTTGGTTGAAATAGGTGCTACCAGGATTCCTTGGGGTTTTTTGGTGACTAGGCGCTTTCACAATGTTCAAGTACTGTAGAATCCAAAAGCCTTCTCTTGACTGCTATGTGGCTTTTTACTGTTCTTTGTATCAGAGTTCTTAACCAGACTAATAAATCACCTGGTCTTAATTTTTAAAAAACCCTGTTCAAGTTATATTATTCTTGCAAAGATGGGCATATATTAAGAGAAACAGATGAAACTCGTTAGAAATGGTTTTAGGTAAGTTGGTGCCGAAGGCAGAAAATCCAACATGGTACACTCTTCCTTTCCACTATTGCAGAGATTAAACAAGTTTTTTATTTGCCCAATAATTTCATGTCACCTACTTGTGGTAAACCAGGGGTGCTTAAATCTGGCCTGGAAATATCAAAGGACCATCCCGTGGTGTCTCTGCTAGCCAAAATGCCCCCTCCCCGCAGCCTGTGTTTGGCCTCCCCAACCTCCTGTGGCACTCTGCCGACCAAAAAGGACCACAGGGAGGCTCTGTGCACCACATTTTTGGCCGGCAGAGAGCTGCTGGAGGCAGACAGTGGGATTCATGGAGCCGCCACGTGTCCCATTTTTGGCCGGCAGAGTGCTGTAGGAGACCATTCAGGCCTAAAACGGGGCAGAGGGGGCCGCACGCAGCCCCCCCCCACTCCCTGTTTTGGCCATCAGGGTACTGCAGGAGGCGTCTGTCCTGTCTCCCCCTCCCCTGTCTACAATGCTGATCCGGCCCTCAAAGAAATCCAGTTTGACACCCCTGTGATAAACTCTTTCACCCTATGTGATACTTAAGCCAAAAATTCCAAGAGGTAGTGGTGGTTCAGAACACAGTTAAAACAGTCATTCATAAAAATCCAAGGGAAGGGAGTTACAAGAAACTCTTACATTACTTTCTTGGGAAAAATAATTCTTAATAGAGTTGTGTAAAATAGAATGTGCTCATAGAAAACCAGGACTTTTCATATTAGAAACAAGGCCGCTTGGAACATTTCCAGAGAATTTTGGAAAGTTGGAATATCTACTTCTATTTCAAAATGGGAAGTTTTAAGCTCAGATGTGGTGCTAGTTCAAAACAGTCTGCACATGATTGGTTATAAATTTGTGTAAATACAGAGATTAATGCTAGACAAAAACCAAGGAAAACTCTTAAGTTTTGGAAATCAAAAGATTTCACTAAAAAATCTGTACTCTTGCTATGGATGCCTTATGGAGATTCTCAATAATCTAAGTCACGGTTGTCACGAAGGTGTTTTTCAAAAGGCAACTGGACTTTCTTGTTTTATTCCTTGAAAACATTTTGCTTCTCATCCAAGAACTGAAGAAGCTTCTTGGATAGGAACTGAAACATTTTCAAGAAAAAAAAAACATGGAAGTCCAGTTGCCTTTTGAACAGTATCTATCGGACGTGTCTATGGAGATTCTCGGTCATCTAGGTCAGGGGTATCAAACTTGCATCGTCACGTGATGTCACATATTTTTTCCCCTTCAGTAAACCGGGCGTGGGTGTGGCTAGTGTGCGATGTAGGCAGCCAGTGGGCCACAAGTTTGACAGCCCTGATCTAAGTCATGGTTGTCCCAAAGATGCTTTTTCAGCAAAGTACCTGTCAGGTTCCGAAGGGTTAATGAAAAGAGCCAAACACAGAAATGGTTTGAAATGCAGTTTGTATTCTTCCTTCGGCACAAACTGACCAAGCACTAAGGCAATGAATAAATTGTCAGAGCTGCCACCCGGTGCTCCCCACCACCTTTTATAGTTACTTAGTAATTAGGATAACCTGTATCCTGCACATGCGCACACCCATACCTTGGTAACTGAGAACAAAAACATTAATCGAGGATTGTTGTCAGTCAGTAATCACTAGATTAGTAGATTCACTCAGCTGTTTGTGGAGGAGTGAAGCCTGATGAATCTTGGCAGCTGGCCCGGGTTTCTCCCCTGAATGGCAGCTCCAGGCCTCTGGGCTGGCTGGAGCTGACATGCGGCCTCCTACCACGGAGACAGCATTTGGCGAGCTACAAATTACAGTCAGTTAGGAGTCAAAGGACCCCTTCCCCCTGGTTTTGTGAGATGTCTGTGGCGGAATCTCGCTATCAGGTGGGGCGCCCTACAGTCCTGCTATGAACCCACAATGCCGGCGACAGGGCATAACCTTTCCATAAAGCAAGGTATTGTAACTGTCCCGTGCCACCTAGTATCTAGTATATCTTGCACTACATAGTGCTGTTCCCCATCTACAGTAACCGGAGCTGGCGGCCGTAGTGGGTCTCCTCTGATATCAGATGCCTGAACTGATTGGAGCAGGCTGCAGTTTAAGACTGGATGTGTTTTCCCCAGTAGAGGGGGGAGTCTTACCTGCATTGTGACTGGGTTAATAACTCGCAAGATTGGGAAAGGCCCAATGAATTTGAGCCCAAGTTTCTTACATGGCAACAGCAGCCCGAGATATTTAGTGGAGAGGTATACCCTCTGGCCTACATGGAAGAGTCCTTGTGCCCTCCGCCTTTGGGACATCTTACTATGGATACTTTTTACTAGGCATTGCATAAGATACAGGTTTCCCTAACAACACAGAAAACTAAAAGGACTACTAAAAATGTACTACTACTTACCAGTTGTTATTTATGCTCTATTATTGGTGCATGTAGCCATTAGAAGTTTGCAAGTCTTATTTTAATCTTTATTATGCCCTTAGAGCCAGAAAACATCAAATATGCATAGCTTGCAAGTTAAAACTAATATTGCGGCAACAGATATGAGGGGGAAGAATGTATTTGGTAGTAAAGAAAATTGCACCATATTATGGCATGTTTGTTCTGAGTTAAGATGTCATGTGCACCTAACCATTTTGTTATACAATTAACAATTCTGACTCACATTACATGTGAATCCATTCAACAGTGGCTTATTCAAGAAACTCTTGTTAAACAATACATGATTTGTTGTAACCCCAACATATTTGAAGACAGGTCATATGAAATGAGTCCCATTTGCACATAAGAGGTTGATGCTCTATTCATATGAATAATTAATAAAAGGTTTTTGTATGTTCACAGTTTCAAATATTAAAACCAAGTCTTGATAACTCATGGAAACTCAGCTTCTTGCATCAGAAAGGTAAAAATTGCTTCTGATAATGCTATAATTCAATAAGCAGGTAAAGCCTACAGTATTATATTTATGCAGCCAGAATGGGTCTCATTGCTGTGTAAAAGTAACAAAATAGCTTTCCCTATTATTATGTAATATGAGAAACAGAATACTTTCTATACAGGTAACTTCATTCTGATGTACACTGTTTCATCTATGAATACCTTTCTCTTAAAAAGGCAGAAAATATAAACACACTGAATTAGATATTTAGAATAGGACTGTGTGGGTGAATGTGGGTGTGGTATGGGATGGGCTATGGGTACCTTTGCATGATCTTGGTGTCCTATCCCACCTGATCAGACTCATCATATCACTGTACACTGATCAGGAGGCAAAAGTGAGAACACTTTATGGTGATAGATTTATTCAGAATCAGGGAGTTAGGGATGTATTTTATCACCTTTTCCAATCTGTATGCTGAAATGATTATGCGGAAATTAGATCTGAAACTATCTGATGGAGTGAAGATTGGGGGAAGAATCAAATAACTTACGCAGGTGATACAACACTATCGGCTGAAAATAAGGAAGATCTGGAAAAAATGATCTGGAAAACAAGGATGAAAGTAAAAAGTAGGATTGAGTCTTAACATCAGGAGGAGGAACTGTATAGAAAACACAAATAATGACAACAGCTGCAGATGAACATGAGAGATTTAAAATCAACAAGGAGGACATTGAATTAGTTTGAGAATTTATCTTTTTTGGATCCAAAACTGTTCACATGGCACTTCTAGTCCTGAAAGCAAATGCAGAATAATCTTAGACCGTGCTGCAATGATTAACAAGAATAAGATCTGGAAAAGCAAATGTATATAATATAAATGCAAATGGCAGGGTAGATAGAACTGTAAAGGTACAGGTATAGGTCTTCCCTATAACGATGTACGAGTGTGAGAGTTGGACACTAAGAATGG